ATGTGCCCCACACCGTCTACGTCACTTCCTATAGACGCATAATGCAGGGACCAAACTAAGCCCCTGTGGAAACCTGGACCTGGATGGACAGTAGCAGTAGCGGAACTCATCGTCCTAGGCAGCATAGATATGTAACTAGCCGAAATTCAATTCGATCCCAGGCGCAAACCATTCGCCGCTCTCAAATCCAGGTTCCACGAAAAATCGAATGGCTCCCAGCCGGTGAAGGTTGTCTCGAAGCATCACATGCACCGTATTCTGCTCACGACTAGACGGACCGGGATACGAAGTCTACCATACACCAACTTCGACACACCACTTGCCTTGCCGGCGCCGACCAACCCTGCCTGGCCACGATTCCAGACCCTGGCTAAGACACGCTCACGCTCCATCGCCAACTCCAACAAAGGCAAGACCAACGCAAGCTCTGGCAACCTCTACGACTCCAGCTCGATCACGGAAAATATTCACAAGCTCGGCCGTATAAGTCGCAGCTTCTTCCGTACAGCCGAACATCGTCGCGCGTTCTCTGGCGCTTCCGTTCCTACAACCGCGACCAACTGCATCATGAATGGCGCCAAGGTTACCCGCTCCAAGCGCAAGGCGCCCACCAGCCCCGAGGGTCTGCGCCCGAACAAGCAGCATCGTGCATTGAACGGCAAGTTCTCTGCAGGTGATAACACCCCTGACGTCGAACATGATGAGCCGGTCTACGTCGAGGAGGACGAGTACGACGAGGAGGAGGTTGCTCGGCTGAACCCCATGTTCCCGGCTACGCAAGAGCCCGAGGCGTGGCAGCATACCATCGAGAACGTCATTAGCAATGTTGTCTCGATCAGGTTCTGCCAGACCTGTTCTTTCGATACAGACCCAGCTCTGACGAGCGAGGCCACTGGTTTCGTCGTCGACGCTGAGAAAGGGTACGTTTAGAAGCGCCATTGGGCCCATTCATTGGGGGCGGTTAGGCTGACGTGCCATCAACCAGATACATCCTGACGAATCGTCACGTTGTCGGCTCCGGACCCTTCTGGGGCTTTGTCGTCTTTGATAATCACGAGGAGGTCGACGCCTACCCGGTCTATCGTGACCCCGTCCACGATTTCGGCATCCTACGGTTTGACCCCAAGGCCCTTCGCTACATGGATATCCAGTCGCTGCAATTGCGACCAGACTTGGCCAAGAGTAGGTGCTGCCAGATTCTGCACACAGCGACATGCTAATGAGACATCTTAGTCGGTGTCGAAATCCGTGTCGTCGGTAATGATGCTGGAGAGAAGCTCAGTATCCTGTCTGGTTTCATCTCGCGTCTCGAACGCAACGCGCCCGAGTACGGAGAGGGGTACAGCGACTTCAACACCTGCTACTACCAAGCCAACGCCGCAGCAAGCGGCGGGAGTTCCGGCAGTCCTGTTGTCAACATTGACGGTTTCGCGATTGCTCTGCAGGCTGGCGGTCGCAGCGACGGCGCGTCGACCGACTACTTCTTGCCGCTGGACAGGCCACTGCGTGCCCTGCAATGTATTCAGGATGGAAAGCCGGTCACGCGAGGCGATATACAGTGCCACTGGCTGTTGAAGCCGTTCGACGAGTGCCGACGCCTCGGCCTGACCCCTGAATGGGAGGCTCTCGCACGCAAGACCTTTCCCAAGGAGAACAACATGCTCGTTGCTGAGATTGTGCTGCCTGAGGGACCATCCCACAACAAGATCCAGGAGGGTGATATCCTGATCAAGGTGAATGGCGAACTGGCCACCCAGTTTGTCCGACTGGACGATATCATGGACTCGAATGTGGGCAAGACAATTCATCTACAGATTCAGCGTGGGGGCGAGGACATGGAGGTTGACATTGAAGTCGGCGATCTGCATGCCATCACCCCCGACCGGTTTGTGTCTGTCGCGGGCGCCAGCTTCCACGACCTATCTTACCAGCAGGCGCGTCTCCATGCCGTGGCCTGCAAGGGGGTTTTTGTGTGCGAGGCAACGGGGTCTTTCCGTTTCGACAGCGCAGACAATGGCTGGCTCATCCAGAGCGTGGCCGGCAAGAACACGCCCGATCTCGATACGTTTGTCGAGGTGATGAAGGAGATTCCTGATCGTCGCAGGGTCGTCGTCACCTACAAGCACCTTCGTGACCTGCATACTCTCAACACGACCGTTATCAATGTGGACAGGCATTGGTCGGCCAAGATGAAGATGGCGGTGCGAAATGACGAGACTGGCCTTTGGGACTTTTCCGATCTGGGTGATGCTTTGCCCCCGGTTCCGACGGTACCTCAGTCTGGCTCCTTCATCCAGCTCGAGTACACATCAAACCCTGCCGTTGCCGACCTGGTCCGCAGCTTTGTGCTTGTCAACTGTACCATGCCAGTCAAACTGGACGGCTTCCCGAAGAATCGCAAATGGGGCATGGGGCTCGTGATAGACGCTGACAAGGGCCTCGTCATCATCTCGAGGGCTGTTGTCCCCCATGATCTTTGTGACGTAACGGTCAGCATCGCCGATACGATTTTCGTGGACGGCAAGGTTGTTTTCCTGCATCCGCTGCAAAACTATGCCATCATCCAGTACGACCCAAAACTTGTAGATGCGCCTGTGCTGAGCGCCAAGCTGAGCAGCGAGCCCATCTCTCAGGGAGCGTCCACCAACTTTATCGGTTACAACAGACTGGGCCGCATCGTGCATGCGACGACAACAGTGACGGAGATCACACCAGTGGCGATTCCTGCTAATTCGGGAGCGCCGAGGTACCGCGCTGTCAATGTTGACGCCATCACTGTCGACACGAGTCTCAGCAGCCAGTGTGGCAGCGGCGTTTTGGTCGCAGCTGATGGTTCTGTGCAGGCCCTATGGCTGACGTACCTCGGAGAGCGCTCGCCGGTCAGCAACCGCGACGAGGAGTACCATCTTGGTCTCGCGACACCGACACTGTTGCCGGTGATCTCTCAGATCCAGCAGGGTGTTCTGCCCAAACTCAGACTACTCCCTGTGGAGTTCCGTGCCATCAAGCTTTTGCAGGCGCGTGACATGGGCGTCTCGGACGAGTGGATTCGCAAGGTCACCGAGGCCAACAAGACGCACCACCAGCTCTTCATGGTCAGCAACCGCACCTTTGAACGGACGGAGCAGCCCGGCGCGCTCCTCGAGGGCGACATCGTCCTCAGCCTCAACGGCAAGGTGATTACGAGGGTGTCAGAGCTCGACGTCATGTATTCGCATGAGGTTATCGAGGCTGTCGTCGTACGTGTTAAGCAAGAAATGACGATCCAGGTGCACACATCGGCCGCGGACGATGTCGAGACGGACCACGCCGTCTCGTTCTGTGGAGCCGTCCTCCAGAGGCCGCATCATGCCGTCAGGCAGCAGATCAGCAAGCTGCACAGCGAGGTTTACGTCTCGGCACGCACGAGGGGCTCCCCTTCGTACCAGTACGGCCTTGCCCCCACCAACTTCATCACCCACGTCAATGACAAGCCGACGCACGACCTGCCGGCCTTTCTCGCCGCGGTGGAAAATATCCCGGACAATACTTGTGAGTCTACGAATACCTTGATCATGCTTCGTAGCAATTTGAGAGCTAACCGAACTCGTGACAGATTTCCGCCTAAGAGCCTGCACGTTTGACTGTGTGCCATGGGTCATCACGATGAAGAAGAACGAGCACTATTTCCCGACCATGGAGTGGATCAAGGACGCGTCGGACCCTTCAGGCTGGCGACGCAAGACGTACGAGCACGGCAAGGTGTTCGACGGCGAGACCGTCGACGGCATCAACGCCGCTACGGGTGAGGACGCGGATATGGGCGAGGAGGACATCTTGCCGGCATGAGGCAGGCAGGGGACGGAACGCAATGTGGTGCAAGATGGCGGCAGGGAGGACAGTACTATGCCCTCCTGTCGTTTGGCGTCGATGACGTCCTTGGGAAGCTTGGAGGGCCGGATACCAACAGATGTGTTTTTAGTAGAGGGACGGGCAAAAAGCTCTTTGCCCAGTGTGTTTTGAATGTGTCATCAATGCTGTAAGATGAGAAAACTGACTTCATACTACGCGCCTTGACTGTATTTGCTGCTGCTTGTCCTGTTTCCTGTTTGCGCGTCCGTCGCTGTCGTATCTTGTAGGGTCTCTCTGATGAACTTGGCACTCTCGAGCTCCTAGGGACCGTGGATGGCCAAACGAGACGAGCAGCCGAGGCTGCTAGCCTCGCCACGGTATGACCTACACAGTCATCAAAGGCAAGCCAGTGAGAGACGCGGTCGGAAATGCGAAAGTTGCTTGGTTCGTACAAGTACGTACGGTCCAGCGAACAGGCAACAGCGTGTCCAAATCAACAACCGCCATGATCGAAGGCTACAAGACGTTGGCGTCCCTCACGAGGATCAGTTGTCAAACAGTCTCATCATTTTTGTTGTGGTCATCATGAGAAACGCGCAGCATTGTTGATGGCGAGCCACGCTGCATACACATCCTCTTCACCCCAGCCCGTAGGCGTGAGCAATGAGAAAGAGAGAGAAAGTTTTCCATCTATCGAGGAAGAAGAAGGGTTACAAAAATTCCCTAGCCAGCCGAAGCCAACTAGGAGTGGTCTTAGTTATAGTTTTCAACTAGCAAAAACACGATCTCGGACGAATCCTCACTGATACGCGTAAAGCCCTTGCACTCAGATGGAGAAAGGAAAGAAACCAAAAGGTCCAAAAGGGGCGGGACGCGACGCGGTTTTGTAGGTCCACCCAAGGCGGTGAAATGAGGCAGATCAGTCGGTGCCTGCATCTGCCTGAGCGTTCTGCCCTTTTCCCCTGACACGGTACGTACCCAGGTACCTCACATAGGTGCCCACACCTCATGTTCAGCACGCCCAGCACGGTGCTAAGACGGGTGGTCGGTCTTCTTGGTCAGCCAGTTCGGGGTCCGGCGACTACATCTTGACGATCCCCCCCCCCCCCGAGGAAGAAGCTCCAGACGAAACGTACAGCGCCGCCCATGCGCGCCGGACCGCCGTGAAGATGCTGTCCTTTATCCTGATCCAGAACCGACAGTATGTTCCTCGCTCTCCGACCCCCTCTTAGCCAGATGGCCCCGTTCCCGCCCGTCCCGTACCGTCGCTAACATGCACCCCTCCTTCAGGGGGAAAACCCGCCTCGCAAAGTGGTACGCCCCATACAGCGACGACGAGAAGATCAAGCTCAAGGGCGAGGTACGCTTGCTTCCTCTGCCTCCCACAGTCGCCCGAGTATCCGCTCTCACCATGTCTGACAATGTTCATCGTCCCAGGTCCACCGTCTTGTCGCTCCGCGCGACCAGAAGTACCAGTCCAACTTTGTCGAGCACCGCAACAACAAGATTGTCTACCGCCGCTATGCCGGGCTCTTCTTCTGCGCCTGCGTCGATACCAACGACAACGAGCTCGCCTACCTCGAGGCCATCCACTTCTTCGTCGAGGTCCTCGACTCCTTCTTCGGCAACGTGTGCGAGCTCGATCTCGTCTTCAACTTTTACAAGGTCTACGCCATTCTCGACGAGGTGTTCCTGGCCGGTGAGATCGAGGAGACGAGTAAGCAGGTTGTGTTGACACGACTGGAACATCTGGACAAGCTGGAGTGAACGAGCAAAAGGAGGGAGAAAGCATGCGGTGAATCAAACATTCAGGGCGGGCTGCATGGAGGATGGAACTCATCATGACTAGGAGGGCGTTGGGCGTTCAATTGAGCTAGGTCTTTTTTTTTCAATATCCCTGGCAAAGGTCTTTTGATGCCATGATTCATTGGATTTCTATGTGCATATTGTCTCGCTTGCGGTCATGGGATCACGCCATGGCCCGCGACGTACGGCCGCCACAGCTTTTCGCAGTCAACTCGGAGGCCAGCCCATCCAGGAATACATCCGCCCGAATGACAGCCCGTTCTTCGTCAGTTTGCGAAATGGGGGCCCCGATGCAAACTCCTCTGCGCTCTGCATTCCGGCAGGGCTTGTCATCCACGCCATACCACGGCCAAAGGCGGCCAGTTTCGAGCGGCTGATCGTTGACAGGGCTTGGGGTTCGTATCAAGGCGAGACGAGGTCTGCATATGATGGTATCTTTAGGGTCTGGTGATGGCAATTGTTGGTGCCGCGAAGCTCGCGCTTTTCTTTCGCGTCTATCGTCGCGATCTTGACCCGGTGATTTCTTCAAACGATCGTGTTCCCAAACGTATAGACATGTCTTGTTGTTTATTGTTCTTGCCTTCGTTTTGGCCTGAGACTGTCCTGTTTTCGTCGGGGAAAGGCTTGTCGCGTCGTTCGTCTGTCGAGGAGCCGCTCCCTGGAGGCGCTCAGTCAATTTCTGGCGCTTGCGGTATGTCGAGTCCTCGTCGAAGGGAGTGTGGTCGACAACAACTGCTCTGTCGCAGCCTCCGGTCTCTGGCATGGGTCGAACGAATGAGACGAGGACGATCTCCTTCTTCTGATCTGTAGCCTTGGGTGCCTTACCCGACCGAGAACGGGGCCGGCTGATCCCCTGAACTCCGGCAAGAGCAGGTCTCTGGGAGGTGCTGGGACCCGGAGAGCTTATCTCGAGTTTCGAACGCATTTTCTCGATGGGAACATTTTGCCGGGGAGGTGTGGAAGAACATTTCAAGCCATTTTGAAGAACGGGGTGGCAAACTGGCTTATTCCTTCGGACGCCTTTTGCTCTTTTGCCATCGTACGTGATGTCCATCAGTCGCTTCGCGAAGTTCCAAAACTTAGACTCGGTTGCCGGTTTGCCATCTCCACGGTATGTTCTGATTTTCTTCGATCGGGTAAAGTGATCCAAGACCTTGTTTTTGGGACAGCCTAGACTGGCAAGAAAACCACACCACTTTCGAATAACGGGAGAGTTGCTCTTGTGGTTGACGAGAGTAAGGTGCGGCACCTGTTCCGCCATCCATTCGGCCGCGCCCACTAGGATGGCATCTTCGTCCGATGTCCCATTCTCGAATTGACGCCGTAGCTGATTTTGAAAATCACCTTGAGGAGCATGTCTGATATACTCCAGGCCGGGAAGTCCGAGCTTGGCCAAATCGCTATCGTCCATAGCCGCGGCGTGATTGTTCTTCCTGCTTTGAGGTCGAAACAGTCACAGCGGGACGCCTCGTGGGAGTTCCAACAAGGGGAGTGAAAAAATCGCGGCGTCGTTGTTGGACGAGCTCTCACGAAGCGTGCTTATGGGTAAGGAGACCACCAATGTCTGGTGATGACCTACAATACAAAACATGTTATGAATTACTGGCTGTTGCTCTTTATACGTAGGAGATTGATCGTGCCTGCCTTTGTTCCAAGGCTCGGATGCAAGGAGCAGCAGGAGGGCTGAAGGGAACAATAGGACAATAGACGACTAGCGCTGACTAGTTGATCAGCCACCAACTCCTTTCATATGGGCATAAACAGGTAGTATGCTGCAGTGACGCCTGCCTTGGTATTATTCCGAAGTAAGGGAATGTTTTCCAAGGTTCGGAGAGTGCAAATCATGATTGTGAAGCACAGCGATGCAAAGTGCACGTCTTGGTAAGCTAGTCAGTCACATCAGACATAGGTCGGTCCATTCGGCAACGACAAACAGGTCCTCGACCAGCTTTCAACAAAATAACAAAATATATGCTCGCTAAATATGAAGCATCCAAACCCAAGAGCCAGCCCATTGAACCGAAAACACCATCATCGACATGTTCAATGCTACAGCTTTTTCAAGGCGGCGAACCTCCTTTCGAGCTCAGCAATGTCGGGTACCGCGCCACCAGGTCCATTGGAGTCCGTCTTCTTCTGTGCGTTGGCCATCTTTTGGTTCGGTTTCAGGTTCAGCGAGCTGACCTTGACCTGCGGATGGACATTGTCAGTTGTCATTTTGGGCGGATTGACCGTCAAAGGACTGCTCGGGCCCCCGATCGTCCTTGGCGGAGTGGCCTTGCTCAGCATCTCCTGCTCCTTCTCGGCCTTGAGATCCGGCTCCGCAAGAACCTTCTGACCGCCGCCTCCACCGCCTTCGCCATCCTCCCCGGGGCCGTCAGCGTCGTCGTCGTCGTCGAGCAGGTCTGGCGCCTCGCCGAGCTGTTGGCGCTTGGGCCAATCGACGTTGTATGCTCGCGCAATCTCCTCGAGGTATCCCACGACGAGCTCCTCCCGCGGCGGCGTCACGCTCAGCTTCTTCACAATGTTTGGCGCCACCTTGCCGTCCGAGTTCTCCATGGCCGACATGACAAACTCCTTGCCGTACTTTTCGGCGAGCAACGTCCGCACGACCTGCAGCTCCTTGATCTCCGTCTTGGGCGCGGCGTACATGATGCTCTTGATGGCCTCCTCGAGACCGGGGTCGCACGTCGAGCCCTCGAGCAGGCCGGCGCGGGCGATGAGCAGCTCGCAGTACAACTCGAGGAGCTCGTGCAGCTCGTTGGTGATGTCGGACCGGATGATATTCTCGACGCGGATGCGGGCGCTCTCGACCTTGCCGACCTCGAGGAGCTGGGCCATGGCGCGGCGCTGTGTCTTGCCCAAGGCCTCATCGCGCTGCTGGACCATGCGCAGGCGGGCGATAGCCAGCTTGAGCTGGACCTTGAGTTTGGTCTGGATGGCGCGCGCGCGAGTTGCGTCGTTAGCGGGGTCTACGTCATTTGCAGTGGCGGGGGATCAACGCGGGGTCACTTACGATTAAGGACGCAGGAGGGGGAGGCATGATGGGCGGCAGCCGTCTGGAGCGGTTTGAGATGCAGATGTATGTGTTCGATCAAGGGCGAATGTCTGGAAAAAAGGCAGAAATAAGTAAGCTGTTGCCTGAAGGTCAAGTCTGAAGAGTGTAGTGTATGGCAGAGTCAAAGGTGGCAGGCAGACGATCGCAAGGCAGACGGATTGACGGCAGCAGGCCCGGGCGTTATCTAATCGCCCCAGACACTTTCAAGTGGGGAGTGGGAGTGCTGTGGCTAGAGAGCAATCGACGGCGCCTGGAGGTTCAGGTGGTCGACCTGAGTGCGGGGATCAGTGGCACCAAAGGATGCTGTGTACCCCACTGTGTCTGCCCGGACAGTCCTTGATACCTGTAGGGTAGGTACCTACCGACCTAGGTACCTGGGTAGTTAGGGAATGCCTGCACACACAGGCTGCTGAACAAGCAAAGTTCTCACAACCATGTTGCTCTCTCGTCTATCAGGCGACTATTTAGGTCCCCTGCTGGGATGACCAGTATCAGAAGTCAAGGATCTGCATCTTCTCGGTACCCAAGTCGAGGCTACGGCTTGCAAACAATGATGAATGCCCAATATGGACCTGTGAGCTTGGTCCAACTCGCTCGGACAGCTCGCTTTTCGTGTTGGGTAGGTGCTACAGAGACTTCTTCGTCTGCATGAGACCTGTCAAGCATGTCTTAAGCATGTCTTAAGCATGTCTCATGCATTCTATGCATGACATATCCGTCATCTCAGTCGATCAAGATGGTAGCCACCGTGACATTCATCAACATGGTGACATGCTACCACCGAATGACCCATGAACGACACATGTCAGAGCCTTGTCTGGCCCCAGTCCTTGCTATTCAGTCTGTGTCCACTAGTGCCGGGCACTTATCTTGGCCATGTTGACCTTGAATCCCTCCAAGGATCTCTCTCTCTTCTCTTGGGTCCTTCCTTGGATCAACTCCCCCGGAACCGGACCCGGTTTCCAGAACACGCGACTCGCGCGCCCCCGTTAATGCTACATGTACTCACCTTGGCAGATGACTTCACTTCATTCCAGATCCACGTCTGCCTGCCACTTGCGACCTAACATTCGACATCTTCTTGCCGGCCCGCGAACGATGTGCCCAACGCTGCCGAATATTCCTGCCCCCATTCTTCATCCCACCAAGACTTAGACTTCCACCATATTCAGATCAAAGCCATGGAGTCATGGGGGTCGAATTTGCATACCTCGGGATCGTGATTCTCAATTTCCAGCAACCGCATCTATCGATTTACTGTCTGAAGCACATCCACGGTCTGTAGGAAGCCACTTGCCTCCGTGGCTCAACGTACAGCGTTGGCCAATTCAGCAACGGATATGGCTGAAGCCGAGGCGGCGCCTGCAAAAGGACTGCGACATGGACACAGACCGCGATGGCTTCATTCCGGCTTTCTCAAGTCACGCGCCTGGTCCGCTGCGACATGGACCAACCTCCGAAGCAACAATCTATGGCGGCGCGTCGTCAAGTATTCCATAGCGACGACTCTCACCATCATCATTGTCCTGATCCCCGAGGTTGTTGTCCTCTTCCCCGGCACTACTTTTCTGGCCCCCTTGACAACCGTCTTCGCCAACCCGGGCCAACGAATGGGCGCCATGGTCGAGGGGCTACTCCTGACCCTTGTCGGCGCAACAATGGGAACGGCGTGGGGCTCGCTCGGTCTCTGGTTATCGAGCCGGGCCGTCGATGACAACCTCCAGGCCGCGTTCGCTATTCGAGCTCTCTTTCTGTTATGTGCCGTTCTTCATCACGGATATCTTCGCTCGTCCAGCCCGAGGTTGATCGTCTACGTTCTCTTTCACCTAACTTCCTCCACCATCATCCTCATGGGCCCGTGGCGGGCGCTCACGAGCACCATCGTCACGTATGTTGCCTATCCCATTTTGATAGGAATGGTGGTCACTTTTACGATCAATCTTTCCATCTTTCCGGAGCCTTCCAACGACTTCCTCGCCCACGCCACCATCGATGCCATTGATCAGACGACGCTGGCCGTGACGCGCTCTACAAACTGGTTCCTCAGCCCTGGGGATGGCCCAGACGAACCCCGGAGTAACCACCCGGCCGAAGCCTCGCCGAACACGGCCTGCACCACGAAAACATTAGTTGGTTCGAGCGCGAAACGACCTTGGTATCACCATCTTTGGTCCGGATTACGGAATCCCTTGTCCACACCCGGATCGAGAGCGCCCGTCATCAGCGCCCCGGCCCAACACATTGGCCTGGCCGCGCTGACGGCCAGCAAAGCTGCGCTGCGGTCAGGCCTGCAGCGCTGCCGCGCTGGGCAGTCCGAGGTCAACCTCGAGATTGCCATCGGCCCCCTGCCGCCCTCCAGCCTCAAACCCATCACCACGAAAGCCATGCCTGGTCTCGTACACAATGCCGTCATGTTGATCGGCGCGTGCGAGAACAAATTTGTCCTCCTAGGCGACGGCGAACCCGACGATGCCACCGATACCGAGGACGAGGATCCATTCGTGCGGCCGCTCCAGCGCGCCTCGGCCCTCGAAGAGCTTCTGGGCCCTAGAAAGTTCAGAAACCCGACGACGCCGGCCGAGGAAGATCCTCTCGACGCATTGGAATCCGTCAAGCCGCTGCGCGAGCTGGAAGCAGGCGATCCCGAGGTTCTCGAAGCCATCATCAAGCGCATCCAGCTGCCGACCAAGGACTTTACCGAGGCGCTGCGGCAGGCCGCCCTGACGGTGACGACGAGCCTAGCGTACTGCTACGGCCTTCCGAAGCTGAAGACGGGCATGCCGACGCCCAAGAGGATCATCCTCGAAGAGATGGACATCCACATTGACGCCTTCATGGACGCCATTGCCATCTACGACTTTTGCTCCACGGAGGAGCTCGAGCGCGCGACCACGACCAAGAACGGAGAGACCGATATCATGCCTCGCATGGAGACGTTTCTCGTATCGTCCTTCCTGCTGGGCCTGCGGCAGTCGGCCGTGCACATGCTGCAGCTGCTGCGCTACGCTCGTCTCCTCGTCGAGAAGCGCCATAGGCGGCACAGGATCAGCATCCACTTTCCCGAATACTTTGGTTGGCGACAGTGGCTGTCTACCGGCGGCGAGAGGGATGCCATGGTTCTGCCGCAGACGATGCGCAAGAAGGGCCGGTCGGGGCGAATTCCTACACCCAAGGAGGAGAGTAGGATGGATGAAGAAGGCACTGTCGAGGAGCTCGACAGGCCTCTCGCACGGCAGAGAGCTGACGTGGAGAGTGTGCCAAACGTACTGGAAGCGAGCTTTCAACACGCAAAGCCGCCATTTCCGACTCCGCCGACAACAAATGACGAGGTGAAGAGGAAGAAGAAGGAAAGGCGGCGTGCCGCAGCGTCCGGAGGCATCATCAGCCGCATCCGGGCGCGCGTGGCCGACGTCTACGAGTCACTCCAGAGATCGGACGATGCCATTTATGCGATCAAGCTTGCCATCGCCTTTTTCATCATCAGCTGGCCGGGCTTCATCCCGTCGTGGCACGAGTGGTACGCGAAGGTTCGGGGTGTCTGGGCGCCCCTGCAACTCATCCTGATCTTCGAGGTCGTTATCGGCACATCGTTTTTCGTCTTCATCCTCAGATTGGTAGGTGTCACCTTCGGTTGTGTAATGGGATATGCGGCGTGCGTAGCCGGTGGCAGCCACAGAGCGCCCCTGGTAGTTATTCTGGTCATCGGAGTCGTGCCATCTGTATACATCCAGCTCGGCACGAAATACGTCAAGACGGGCATGGTGGCAATCTCCTCCATGACGGCTGTCGCTTTAAGTATGTTTCCCTTGCCGAAGTCAGCTATGTTGACCTGCTCACGATCTATAGCAACCGTCAATGAAAACACCGTGTCACACGTGAACCTCTACACACGATTAGTGACCTTCTTCATCGGCTGTTCGGTTGGTCTCCTCGTGGAGCTCATTCTTTACCCCGCCAGAGCTCGCGACAGGATGGTAGAGTCCCTCTCAACCTCGATCAAGCAGATGAGCAGCATGCAGACAGCCATCGCCGTAGGCGTTGACAACCCAAAGAACCTTCAGTTGCGCTCAGACAAGGTTCAGCAGCGCTTCGAGCGGTCTCGGGAGAAGGCACAGGGCGCATTATCGGCTGCAGAGACATTTCTGCCGTTCTGCCTGACGGAGCCACGACTCAAGGGCAGCTTTCGGCAGCTGCATCCAATTTACCGGGAGATCATCTACGTCCTGCATCAGATTGTCGACCGAATGGACAACATGCTCCAGCTGCGGCGCGTCTATGGCAGCTCGGTCCTGGAGGAGCTCAACGCCGAAGTACACGCTTACCGTCGCGCTGTGGCGGCCTCCATCGCCATCGCTCTCTTCGTCGTGAACCAGGCGCTGACGACGCGCATGCCGCTGCCGCAATTCATCCCTTCGGCACGCCTGGCGATGCTACGCCTCATAAACCGTGTCCGGCAGGCTCTCACCGACAAGGCTGCACAACACAGCGAGATGGCCACTGCTGCCGGCGGGGCGGGGAAGGGCGGGATGCGGAATTACATGGCAAGCATGCAAGGTCCCGAGAGGGTACTCAGCGAGGACGAGCGCACGGCACGAGTAGTGACGCAACACAAGTTCCTCAGCTGGAATGCAAACGCAGCGGGGCTGATGGAGATTATTGAGTACCTTGAAGAGTTGGTGGAATTAGCAAAGTTGCTAGTGGGAGTCAACGCGTTCAGAAGCGGCATGTTGGAGAAGCCGACGTTCAAGGAATATGCGAAGAACGTCAAGACGAGAGAGGTACCGGTCGATGAAGACGACGCGGCAGCAGGCGCGTCCTTGACTAAGACCGAGTCACGGAGGTCGGGGACAAGGATCAAGAGGCCTGGAACGGGGCTGCCCGGGCTGGCCAGACAGAACACGGGACAGGCAACAGCAGAGGTCGGACAGAGGCCAGATACGGGTCTGTCCAGGCCAGACACGGCCCGGCCAGATACCGGTTCCCAGAGATTCGATCACGGACTGCAGAGACACGATACGGCGATGTCCACAGGTCGGCAGGCTGCAGCAGAGCGCGGAGACACAGGCCTACACCTGCATAGGACCTGGACCAGAGGCAGTCGAGCGCGTTCAGACAGCCTGGAGACGGCAGTGGAGGGCGAGGCAGAGATCCCGCTGAGTCTCCGACGTGTGTCTTCCCGGCGCGCATCGGCACGAAAGCGGCGGCCGACGGTAACGGGAGCGGGGACTTGGCGACGAGACGATGACAAGGGCAAAGGTATTGAAGAGGAGGACGAGCGATAGACCAGCACTGGTGGGTGCGCGGAAAGCAACGTTGCGGCCGTGCGCTGGTGTCGTGTGGTAATGGCGGGTGCCTGGCGGCTTTGTTTGTGTTGCATGATACCAGGGGGTTAGCGTTTGAATTGCACCTAGAAGTGCTGCCTGCATGTTGGTCAAGGTTTGTGAAACCCGAGGACCCGTCCTTTCGATGGTTGTTGAAGAAGGTTCAGGGGTAGCCTCCATCATGAAGGCGATGGTGTACTCGATCGTGAAGGCCATGGACAGGCAACCATTTTTGTCGTGCACTAGCGGCGCGATTTTGAATCGCTAGTCCAGTGTGACGGCGGTTGCCAATTGCCCAACCGATTCTCGCCTGTTGGACAATGGTGGATGACCACGCATGACCCAGGCTCTTTATGCCGCGCCGGCTCGGACGGCTTTGGGGGAAGTTCGGGGCCGAGGAGACAGAGAAAGCGGAGGATTCCATGTAGTCGTTGGAGGAGTTGATGAATTGGACTCGTCCAACGCGGCGCAAGAGTCGATGTGGAAGGCGAATCGGCGATCTCTCGAATGGGGGCGTTCCCATTTCACCCAGTAGCACGCTGTGTCTCTTGAGCGCCTCGTGGCGTCACTGGACTTTGTGGTACATGTGTCACTCTTATTGGGGTAGCGCCTTCCAACGGCATGCGAATGTGGAGCAGAAGCTCCGCAGCCACTGCCCAGTTTGGTGCGATGATGACGCTCCTTCTGTCTCCAGGCCTGCATTGGCATCTGGAAGCGGGAAGGAACGAAGGTAGCACGCAGCAAGGGCAGCCAGCAGCAAGGGCACGAAGGAAGGAAAGACATGGTGCAGACGGTCACGATTCCAGGGCAGCTCTGAGAATTGGAAAGCAGTTTTGGCCAAACACCCCGAGTCGAGGGATTTTAAGATTCAACTGCGCATCACATTGCTTCACTCCAAGGGACCACCGCAACCCTGAAGAACGACAAGCTTTCGTTGGCATCTGCGACGTCGCTCAACCCGAATCCGATCTCGTATAATCCGTACCGACACCACGCCTGCCGTACCCCTCGGGTTCTCTGGGTCGCTGGAGACGGGGACGCTCACAGAACGCGAGCCAATGGAGCCCCTTGACCCGAGCCACGGCGGCTTGGGCAAACTGCTTCCCAAAGCCATCGTGGCCAAGCGACGACGACGGAAGAGACGACAGCAGCAAGAGGGGCATGAACAAGCCGACCAGGCGATCCGAGACTCCAGGTCTTCACTCTATTTTGAAGACGGTGATGGCGATCAGGGCAGCGACTACACCGACGGCGACAGCAGCTCCATGGATAAAAGGCATAGCTGGATCAGCAGGGCGGATCAGAGTGGCAGCAACCATGCGCATCCTAATGATCCCAATAGCAACAGTGCAGCAAGTGTGAGGGCAGATCATGACTCGTAAGTTGTTTCTACCCATGTTTCTTCATCTTCGGATCCCCCCCTCTGCCCGCCGTCAGTGGGCCTGTCAAAAGATGTTCTAGCCGTCAGCTACGGGCTCGGGTTCCTCGTTCTTGAAGCAGCGACCATCCCGGCGCCTGGCTGGCTCCGAAGCTTCCTCCCCACGTCCCGTCCTCGCTGGTGCCCCTTGCAGGCATCCATCCATGCCCTGGAACGCACCATGGAAAGCGAGACGACGAGACGTGGTGGAAGCGAGTGGGCGCGAGCTAGCCCAGGCTGACTGCATTTCCCCTGTGGCCCTTGCGCTTGCACTGCGCGTGCACTGACGTCTGCTACCTGTATTCATGACCTGTATTCATGACCCCATCGCCCATAACCCACCACCCACCACCCACCACCACCACGCACCTATCCCCGACCACCTCCGTTTCGTTTCGTTCTTGGCTGACCTGGCATTTTCTCATCCGGCTGCAGACCTGCATCACCTCCAGCACCAGCATCTTCATTCGTGCCAGCTTCCACTTCTGCTTCGCCTCAAATCGCCCCCCAGCCACAACCACCATTATCATTCAAGTCCCGCCCCGAAACAATCTCTACCCACCCCTCCCAGATCGGCTACCTGACGACATCGTCCCCCATCATACAAGCTACCCATATTCCAGAGCCCCAGGGCCTGGACCAGACAGTGCCCGACCTGGCGTCCCGATCCTCCACCGCACCCCTTTCCAAACGCACAGAGTCGGTCGAATCCGACTCTCGATCCAGTCTGTCTGCTCGCAGTAAGACTGGACTAGGCTTGCAGCCGCCCCAAAAAGACACCAAGCGATCGCCCTCCCCAGTCGGCAAGAAGCTCGCCAACGTCTTTCGCTCCAAAAAGTCCAACTTGAGCCTGGCCGGCAGTGCCGCCAGTCCCGGTGGCAGCGCCAACCCGAGTCCCAGCAACAGTCCCGAGAGGAAGCCTGCGAGCCTTGCCGAGGACGACGACAAGAACCGGAGCCTGCCAAACCTGCCAAGCCTTTCGAACTCGCAATCGCAATCCGATCTGTCCAACACCACGGAGCCAGATGCCGACAGCATAGCAACAACTGCTTCTGCCGCTTCCTCTCGCCCTAACGAACGCAAGTCTCGCTCCCGCGCCTCCACACTCTCGAACCGCATCTCTGTCGTTGTGCCGGCGCCGACTACTCCGCCAAACGAGAAGACCGGTCCAATCATTGTCAACACCCCGCCTACGCCGACCGACCCGAACCATAACGGTCTACACTCGCCGCCGCCCACGAAACAGAGCGCAGATGCTTCAAACGGTCCTACTCCTTGGGGCAATCTGATCACACATCGCAGGAGCAGGTCGGGCTCTGCTGGTCCCAGCAAACTGTCAAACACTACATTTGCACCGCTGACGCCCACACCCGAGAGCCCTTCAGCCACAACAACGTCGAATTCGAACGGTTTCTTCTCGTCTATGCTCTCAGCTGCACAGAACGCTGCCAACCAGTTCAGCAACACTCTACAAAACAACAACAGTGGCCAGACGCCACCGAAGAGTAGCAATCTGACGGCGAACCAGACCGACCTCCCGGAAGAAGACCAAGTCCAAGTCGAGCCGCCCCTTTCTCCCTCCAGAGACGCCAACATGGACAAGGAACCCGCCGTCAAGACGCTCGGCGACGGCGAGTTGACGCTGAACCAGCTTGGCATTGTGGACCCTCCGAGCATCTCAGGCACCCCCATGACAGCCAAATTTCCTGAGTCGGTCAGATCAGAGACCCGTGCGAGATCGGAATCAGCACCAGCCGCCGACACTTCCTCGGCCGCAAGCCATGAGTATGGCTCTGATGACGCTCGCCCCGCGCAGAACAACGCGCCACGTTCTTTGTATGAAAATGGAGGCCTGGGCGACCGCACACCGCCGCCTGCCAGCCTTTACGAGGACAAGTCAGCCATCACTCGCAGCGGCAGCGTCCGGAGCGCCCTGGGCCGCCGTCGCCACCGAGGAAGCTCAACCGCAACAAGAGGGACCGGGACAACCATCGGCGCAGCCATCGCTGCGGCCAACTCTTCTCTCGGCAATCCGGCAGCTAACACCAGTCAGCAGAGGCTCACGGGCTTCGCCGTCTCGAGCAAGAAACGAAACAGAGACTTCCATGCGCTGTTCAAGAGCGTGCCAGATGACGACTATCTCATCGAAGACTACAGCTGTGCGCTGCAGCGAGAGATTCTGGCTCACGGCCGTCTATACGTGTCCGAAGGGCACCTCTGCTTCAGCAGCAACATTCTGGGCTGGTCGACTACTCTGGTTATGAGCTTCGACGAGATAGTGTCCGTCGAGAAGAGGAGCACGGCGCTCGTTTTCAAGAATGGTCTCATGATCTCGACATTACACGCCAAGCACATTTTCGCAAGCTTCACCAGCAGAGACTCAACCTACGATCTCATCGTCAACATTTGGAAACTGGGACATCCTACACTCAGGAGTTCACTGAACGGAGTGCAGCTTGAGGGGACCGGAGGCGACAAAACAGAAAAGGTTGATGTTGGCGATGAGGGTTCCCAAATCGAGGGGGCTCACGACCAGTTGGACGACCAGAGCATGTCTGGTTCGGATGACGAGAGCGAAGATGGTGATGACATCTACGACGAAGATGATGAAGAGGACATGGTCGAGCCATCGCAGCCCCAAGAACCTGGAGCCGAGTCGGACCACGATAAGGTCATCGGACGCAAGGCCTCTGGTGCGACGGTGCTTAACGGCGCGCCTTCCGATCTCGTCAACACTGTCGGTCCACCTATTCCCGCCGACGACTTCCCGGGTCCTGCGACCCATGCCCCTACCGAGTGCGGTGACGCGGCATCTCACTACGAAAAGATCGTGGGAGACGACGTTGTTCCCGCCCCTCTGGGCAAAGTGTACAATCTTTTGTTTGGGCCTGCGTCAGTCACTTTCATGTCCAAGTGGCTTGTCAACGAGGCCAAGTGCTGGGATCTCCAAATGGAGGACAGAAAGGGGTTGAGCTCGGACAACATGACGCGGACCTACTCCTACATGAAGCCACTTGGCGGCTCCATCGGCCCAAGCAAGACCAAGTGTATCGTGTCTGAGTTGATTGACCACATTGATTTGGAAAAAGCAGTCAACATTACCTGCTCGACCCAGACCCCAGATGTGCCGAGTGGAAATGCCTTTATTGTCAAGACGAAGTACTGCCTGTCTTGGGCCGAGAACAACTCAACCAGGGTCCAGGTCAACTGCACCCTGGAGTGGACCGGCAAGAGTTGGCTCAAAGGTATGTTGTTCCACAAGCTGCCACTTGAACACTAATTAACACGCGTAGGCCCCATCACGAGCGGTGCCAATGAGGGCCAAACAACCTATGTCAGCGACCTCTTGGCGAGCATCAAGGCTGCCGTGTCCTCGAGGCCGCGTTCCGGGACCGGCAATACAGGCTCCGGAAAGAAGAAGAAGGGCCGCAAGAACCGCAACCTGCAGTCGGGTGCGGGGGGCGAGGATAAGAGCCATGCCAAGAGCGCACCCCCGGAGACCTGGGGGTTGCTCGAGCCGCTGCGCCCCATACTGGGTCCGATT